CCCCCCCCCCCCCCCCCCCCCGCCCCCCCCCCCCCCCCCCCCAGCCTCTCCCGCTGACCTCTCCGGGGCCCAGGTTCACCTCGGGCAGCTGCTCCGTGTGCAAAAGCGCCCCCGGGCCCGGCCCGGCCGCTGCAGATTCACCTCGGCTCTAGCCCGTGGGGCACTGAGAACAATGGACGGGAGAGGTCCGCCCACCATCGCGTTCATTGACTGCGGAGAACAGGCCGGGAAACTCTACTCTTCTATTGGTGGGAACAGAGCCTGCCGGGCGGCGGGAGGGACTCTGGGCCTGAAGCATTGTGGGAGTTGTAGTCCGCTACGGGACAAGCCGGCTGCCGGTCGGGAAACTGATTTGGGGGTTAGTAGCCTGGGCGGTGCGCGAGGGTCAGAGGCAGGAAACTCCGTGGACTGGCCACCAGAACCCCACTGTTGGCCAGAGCTAAGACCTTAGACGTCTTTTCACTTCTCCAAGGACGTTGTCTATAAAAAGTGACATTAGATAGAAGGACTTGAAGGTCCTTCTCAGCTGCAAACTGTGCGACAAGTAATAGGGTTAGGCAGTTCGGAGAGCGAGCGCAGACCTTGATCAAAAAGGAATCCGGGCAGAAGACCCTCCTTGCCCTAGCCTCGCTCTTCTCTCCGCAGTTTGCAACTGTACACCTGCACCCGCTTTGCTTTCGCACGTGGTGTTCCTGCATCTGAAGGATGCCTCCTGCCTCTTCCTCTACCCCAGTACCGGACTCTCCATTTCCTCTGTGAAGCCTGCCCTAACGTCACCTCCTAGGCAAGGACACTGCCCACCGCACACCTGTCGGACGTATCCATTTTACCGTTTATGACAGCGCTTCGTACTTGACAGTCCCAGCATCGGGGTGGGATGGGGTCAGAGTGGGAGATTAACCTCTGTCCTGTTCCCACGGTTGGTGCTGTCCCAACACTGCATGAGAACAGGGGAGAAACTGCCTGGAAACCCAAGTGGAAAATCTAATAGAGAAAGACACCCCTCATGGTCTGTGATGGGACAGATGTGGGACGAATAGAGCAAC